GGCTGAACCCATATGCTGCTAAGGCTGCAATGCTGTTCATTATACCTACTGGAGAATTTTCATGGTTATCACTATAATAATTATCTTATAGCGTACGGATCCACCAGACCAAACTACTATTTTGTTGAACTTCAGTCAGCCTCAGCCAGAGAACATAAAGTTGAGTTTAATTTTCAAGCATTTAGATAGCAAGGATTATGCCTAACATAGCATCACTCACATAAGCAGAACGTGACAGCAACGTCTGTATTACAAGGGTACTAGACATCATGACTGCTAATATGGTACTATCTCTAGTATGATTTTAGAAACACACAAACACTCAAACAGTTCATCAAGAATGTGTTGAGATTCTACAAGCATGTGTGCCTGGATACTAATAAAGAAACTTCAATCGCCTTTTTTATTTCCTCAAAGGAAATAAGTCTACAATAAACACTAGAAAATACTGAAATGAGAAATCATCATAAGAATAAACTATGAAAATACGTACATCAGATGCGTTGACCTCATGGATCAGGACCCGAGTTCACCTCCTGAGTTGTAAAACGACGTTGCCGAGGTCAACGTATCCAGCTCTTCAAAAAAGAGCTTCTTCAATGGCGACCGTAGAGAGGAAGACGAAGCGGCAGCACCTCTGGCTCTGGAAGTATCGTCGTAGTCGGCATCGGCGAATAGGAGATCCTGGTTGAAAATCAGGAACATTGGACGGATCTAGCCATTTTGGAATATATCGTCGGTGGAAATTGGCGATCCGTCGAGATTGGTGCAGGTGAACGAGAAATCGTCTTCACCTTCGTTCTTCTCGCAATCACCACCGGCGTCGGCGTTCTGAAAGCCTTCGTCCGGCAATTGACACCTCAAATCTACAGAGTAGCCACAGAACTCTGCGAGCTTAACCATTAGCTCTGTTCATATCGAAAAAATGGAAATTAGCACCAAATTCAACGAAGAAACTGAAATCGAGTCAAAATTCAAATAAATTAAGCAAAAATGAAAAGGAAAATAATGAATTGAAGCAGATGGAACAAACCTACAAAAGAAATGGAGGCATCGGCGGCGAGAACATGTGTGAGGCCACCGACGTAACGGAGATTGTCGTCAGTCTTGTGTTGGTCCATGGCTCTGAGACTGTTTGGTTTACTTTGAAGGCAGAGAGAGGGAAGAAGGGAGAGAACAGAGGAGAGATGTGGGTTTGAAGGAGGAGAGGGGCTTGAGGCTTCAAACCTCAGGGAGTGGTTTTGTTGAATTTTAATGTTCTCTACATTCTATAGATTCTAAACGAGATCCAAAACTAATTTAATGCTAAAAAGGGTAATAAAGGTATTTGATCTTATTAATTAAATTAAAAAATATACAATTGTTGATTTTTGGGTTTATTTTGGGTGTGTTTATATATAATGAATGGTATAGGGTATATTTATAGTTTTATGTCTAGGAATGGGTATTTCACTAAATTTCTATTTTATATTTTACAATTAGAAATAAAAATTAAGAAACCTTTTATCCACTTACACTCTCTTTTGTTTTTTAATACCTTTTAATCAATTTTTCTGTTTTCTATTCTACCTTTTTTACTCTGCATTAATTTATTTTTACTTCACTTTTATATTATTTATTTTTCTTTATACTTACTTTTCCTACTTGCACTCTATTTTCTTCTTCTCCTTTTTCCATTCATCGAGTTAGAAATAATTAACAATGTATATTGGCATAATTATATGAGAGCTCAATCACAACTTCAGTAACATATGCAAAAGAATATTTAATTTAACCAAACTGTATCATTCCACATAAACCATCACAACATAAGAGCATCTCCAGGAGACTACTTCACTAAACAATTGCTGCTCTCAAATTGTTAGATGGATTTTGTAGATAATACATATTATGCCAACATCCTCAACGGACAAGTAGACTTTAATTATCCATTTTCAACATTTGGTTGCACACCTACAAACCAAAATGAAGGAGGCAATGACATGCCTCAAGTGATTGTTCCAGCTATAGACCAACCACACCAAGAAACCACTAAGTTGACAAAAAAAAACCTTGTTTAGTTGATAAGGAAACTCAACCAAACAAAAGACAAATGATATAACTAGTCTAAGGCTAAACTATCTCTTCGATTTAAGAGTAGATAATGGCTATATAACCACAAATAAGGCTAGAGTCCAATATACCCTTGTGTTAATTACCAACTAAAAAGAGAGAAGAATAATGTATGACTGACATGACTAATCAACAAAACTTAATATATATATATATATATAGCTTCTGTTGAGGGATCCTTCAAATAAGTTTATTTTGGGGGATACTTTTGTAAGACCTATTCCGCATTATATTTCACTAATCCAAAACGAATTCATTCAAAGATTATTTCTACAAAAAAATCACTTGAATCCGATATCATTTGACCATTCAATTAAATTATTGAAATTGAAGTATTTTCCTGAAGCATCGTGTTCATTGATTTTGTTGGTTTGTATTAGATGCATGATTTTCAAGTTGTCTGATTGTTTGGAAGGATGATTTATGAATGAGGACTTGAAAACTAGACAGTCTGGATCGTTGAAAAAAAAACACGTAGGGTACCCTAAAGGGTATCCCACCCTCAAATAAAATTATTTGAGGGATCCCTCAATAAAAAGGAACTATATATATATATATATGACTAGTCAGCAATGGTTCTTTATCAATCACTAATCAGCAATGGTTTTGTATCACTATTCAGCAATGTTTCTCTACCAATTACAATTTTATGAACCATCCCTTAAATAGAACTTTTCGGTTATAGATGAAGAAATTAATTCTAAAATGCCCTTACGTTTAATTTAATATTCTTTCAAAGGTTGTTCAAAAAATTGAAGTGAGAAAATTATAATTTTGGACTAGAAAAATAAAGCTCAATCTCATGAACGCGTGGGCGCAAACGGTTTGTGGATCAGAGTTATAACGAAGGAGAAATTAAATTTCGAAAGTTTTGAAATTTAATTCGAGGACTAAACAGTGAATAGTGTACAGTGTCAGTAGCTATTCTGTGGTTACTATAAATCAGAAACAATCGGATAATTGCACATCAACCTGCAACCCGGATCAGAAGCCCAGCAACGTCGTGAAGTTTCGGATTCCAATTCGAAACTTCAATCATGGTTTTGATCTCCTTCCACATCGATTCATTTTCTCAAGTTTTAAAGTTGTTTTGATATCTTACCACAATGGGAAAGGACCATGAACACCGAAGAAGAAACAAAA